TTTTGAGAATTGGCAGAAAATCGTCGATACTGGAGTGAACTTTCATCAGTCCCAGAATATGTGCTGACTGAATATATGAGGGAAGTATTTTTGTTTTTACCTTTCTATTTAGTTGTTTAACACTGATTAATTGATCTTATTTAAATGTGATTAATATTTGTGCAGGATTAAAGAAGCATCCGTGCGAGATACACATACAATGAGAAGGAACACAAACCGCAGGTCAAACATTCCATAACTGATGGCAGCAGATCAATCAAGGGAACTTACCTTGTGTAAGCAAGACTTGGCGGCAAAGACTCTTTGGACTTACCATACTTGAGTGCGGCATATAAGCCTGGGGACACTGATGAAGAATGTAGTTCACACAACTATCTTTTGATTAATTTGGAGAGTTGTTCTTATTCTCGAAAAATTATGAAAGGTTGATTTTATTTTTATTGAATGGTGAATCGAGAGGATGTTCTCGATCACGTTGAGTAAATTGTTTTTTATTTTAGCTGAGTGCTCGCAGGTTCACTCAGATTAGTTTGAGGGATTCAAGCTACAAAATCCACAAGGGATTTATGGTCGGAAAAGTAATAGTATAGGTGATTATTTCAGAGATAGTGGAGAGGGAGTCGACATTGTAAATCCTTTGAATAATGGTTGTAACCTCTATGCTAATGAAAGAGTTATGAAGGGAGAGCGGGATGCTCTCCTGAAAGTTCATGTTTTGTAGAATCTTTGTTTCCACAATTGTTTGAACGTTCATTCAAGATTACTGATTTTCGTACTTAGTGCAATTCTAATTTATTACGTTTATCCTCCACAACTTCAAAAGTAGTAATTGTGCTAACAACAAAAACAACAAAGCAAACGAGCTTATGTTAGAATAGCATGGTCTTTAGTACATCAATAATTCGGAACGTGAAAAACTCCTAACATATCTTCGTAACGTTAAATGGAAATTGGTTATATTAGGCGATGATGTCGTCCTAGTATATGGAAGAATTTGGTTACTTACATAAACTGAGAAAATCCTTAATCAATTCTGCAAGAAAATAAATACAACCTGGTTAAAGTTTTATAAAGAAAAACTTGGGTTTCCACGAAGAAAACTGGTGCAATTCTAAGTTGTTAGGTAATGAGACCCCTTTTGTTTTTTCAAATTATAACAATAGAAGAAGTAATTGCAGTGCAAGGTTTTGAGAGGCAACGACTTAAAATAAAAAAAATTCCTATAATGCGAATAGAATTCGGGGTGAAATGGTTGAGAGGCAGGCAGTATAATAGGCTTAAAAAAACTAAATCCTATTAAAGATGATATCTTAGGTCCTTGTAGATTTGGTCCAAAGAGAAAGTATAGAAGCCTATGATTGGATGGTCAAAAGTGTCCTCTAAGATCTGAGGTTTTATGGTCCAATTTTATAGAAGCTCGCATAAGTTCCTAGACGAGACTATATGTTCATTTGACGCATAGAGAAAGGGATTGGTTTTGGTAATCTTCATGGCTTCGGGTACTGTCTCAACTATTTTACCTTTTAGAAGTGGTGACAAGTTCTTCCTAATTTAAAGTTGAGAAAGTGGCACGGGACCACCTTCAAGAAGATTTGGGGTGTCAAGGGGGCAAATAATTGTCTACTAGTGTTTCTAGCTCGTCCTAGTCGACCTCGCCTTAGGTTCGTCTATATGTACATAGTAGCTATAAAAGCTCGGGTAGAGGCATCTAATCCAGGTACTATTTCTAAAGCCGACAGCTACGAAGTAAATGAAATGGAGTTTTTCTTTATGCTATGGTTCGTGGCAGATTGTGCCGATTTGTGGGAGTATGATGTAATGTATAAAAAAGATGAACAAATATCATTCGTATAAAGAACGTTGAAGTGAAGAAAGATTTCCTAAATATGAATCTAGTGGATAATTGAGGAAAGAAAAGAAAATTTTTCTAAATGTAAATGTATTGGATAATTGAGGAAATAAAAGAAAACGAGGATGGTTAGATACCCATGATGGTGCGCCGGCGGCAGAAGTGCGACTGAGATGAGAAATGAAGGGACATCGAAATTTGTAGAGAATGAAAGTTTTTGCAGGTAGATTGGCTAGAATAGCATCAAGTAATTAGTGGAGAAAATGGTGTGCCTCACGCGCCCCTCTTTCATCCTCTCTTCGTAAAGAAAAACCAAAATCGCCGCTCCGTCCCTTTGCTGCCCCTCCTCTGCTTGAGGCCTGTCGCCGCACAACCCGAGACAGATTCCACTGAGTCAGGGCTGGGGGCCCTCTTTTCAACCTCTTTCGAGAACTTACTGGAGTGTGGTCGAGTTCCTTAGTTGCCGCGTGGAAGGATGTGGCTATCTCCGCATTTGGGCCCCCCTTTCGAGCCCTCCGGTGTAGGTTGTTGGTGTCTTTTGTGGCGACTCTCTCCCTTCCCCGACGTGTAGATTTTCGAAGTCCATATCTTAATCGAGAATTAAATCTTCGTCAGATCCATCTAGGCGGCGCATTTGGCCGCAGTTTTTGAGTTTGAGGTTCCTGTTTGCTGCTTTGTTGGATCTCTGTACTGTTTGGAGTGGCTCTTGTGTCGACTCAGGCGGTTGTGCATTATGTCTGCTAGGTGTAGGGGATGTCTTATTTTATTTGTACATTAGGTGTGTTGTTATTTGGTGAGTCCAGCTTCGTCTAAGTTCAGTCACCTTTATGGAGTATAGTCTCCTGTATGAAGTTTTGTTTCGTAGTAGCAATTGTCTCTTGTGAAGTTGTACTCCTTGAATTCTTCTGGAATTTCAAGATGGTAGGTCCATGTTTCTTGGTTCTTCAATGTCTGTTGACACTCCATATATACTCTTTTGAGTTTTTCAGTTATTAAAGTGTGTGCCGTTTCGAAAAAAAACCTAGAGGACAATATGGTAAAGCATCGAAAGGTTTGAAACTTCATTGTTGTACATTGAGAATTGTCGAAGTGTGTAAAGGTCACTAAAGGTGGGTCATGGGATCTTATAAGATCGATGGTTTTTATGTAAGAGAGATGTTCGGGGTTTTGAGATAATCTAAATAGAGAAATGCTATAGGTACATAATATTTATATAGAGGTGTATATAACACTCACATTAAGTGGGTCATACCAAAAATAAAAAATTAAGTGGACCCCACTCTATGTGAGTGTTATGTACACCTCTATTATGTACTTGTAGCATTTTTCATTTAAATAATATTAGAGATTTTGAGGTTTTCAATCATGACAAAATATATTAAAATACGAAATTGTTGAAATATTTATTCTCGGACCTGGGTTGCAACTCGCCCGATTTTTTAATCTATGCGACGAAGCAAAAACTCGAGTATAACGGATGGAGAAAGAATAACGTACTCAACCCAGTCAACAAAAAGATGTTGGCATAAGGGCATCCGCATTGGTCCGTTAATTTGCCCCATTTAAATGCAGTGGTCCCCGTTAAACCAATTCAGCCATCCATTAAAGCGTGGGACCATTGTTACCGTTAACAACATTGAACGGCTCTTTTGAGCCTTTTTTATTTTTCTTTTTTATTTTTTTTTTCTGCAGCTGCATTTTTTTCTTTTTTTATTTATATTTTTTATCCTCATTTTTTTTGCCTATAAATACACTTCATTTTTACACATTTCTCAAGTTCTAATCCTACCAATCCTGATGAATTTTCACAAGCTCCTTATCCTGCACAATTTTTTCCACAATTCCCATCAAATTTTCCTTTTATGCAACAATCCCAAAATTATTCAATGTCTGGAAATATTCAATATTCACAATATCCTCCACAAGCTTTAATTCAAAACCCACCGCCTGAATATTGACAGTACATAAGTAGTCAAAATCTGGTGCAATCTTCTCCGCAACAATCGAGTCAATATTTCGGATCTCAAATGAGGAAAGAACTCGATACTCAAACTTACGTTCTGGAAACACAATTGCAGGATCGTGAAGCAGCCATAAATGTTGAAATACCAATTGCAGGATCGTGAAGCAGCCATAAATGTTGAAACACACGTGTTGCTACTGAGGGCCGGAAAAAATGTCCACAATGGACAACGGAAGAGGACGTGCTATTGGCAAAGGCTTATATGATAATAAGTGACGATCCAATTACCGGTAATGATCAGAAGGCCTAAGCGTTTTGGGTACGTGTTGCAAAGTATTATAATGAAAATACACCTTCTGATTATATTTATAGAGATTTTAATACAATAAGATCTCACTGGCATAATACAATTCAAAAAAACGTGTATCGGTTCAATGAGTGTTATAACAGTATTAGAGTGTGTATCGAAGTGGTTGTAATGATGAGGATATATTAAGTCAGGCTTACGAAAAATATCGTAGTGAGAGTAATGGTGTAGCCTTCAATCTTGAGAATGTGTGGAGAATCCTAAAAGATCGTCCTATGTTCACTCCACAATCTTCTAATGATATTTTTGTTGAGAGAAAAAAAAAACGAGGATTGATGAGTCTGGTGCCAGCAACACTTCATCAAAGGGAGATGCGAGCATTGATCTAGATGAATTTCATGAAGTGGCTCGCCCAATCGGATAGAAGGAAGCCAAACGAAAGGCCAAGGGCAAAGAAAAATCTAACCTTAATGAGATGACCGCAGAATACAACAACATGGTTAAGCATCTATCTGAGTTAACAAGCTTGAAAAAAGCTGAAGTTGAAGTTAAAAAAGCAACTCTTGAGGAAAAGAAGCAGATAATCATCGAAAAGACTATGATATTTCAATGAGGGACACAAGCCACATGACCCAAGAACAACGTATTTCTCATGAGAAAATGTGCCAAGTAATTCGAGAGAAATGGAACTTGTAGACTTTGCATTATCTATTTTAATTATCCTTGTAATTCTGTACGTTGTGATTTGCAAAATTGAACTTTTAGCTTGTATTTCATTTAAGTTGTTCTTGTTATTCAAAGAAAACTCACATATTTTATTCAAAGCAAACTCACATATTTCCTAGTCAAAAGAAGGAAGCTTCCTCACAATTTCCAAGTCAATGGAAGCGAGCTTCCTTACAACTTCTTGGTCAAAGAAAGGGAACTTTCTCGTAAGTTCCAAGTCAAAGGAAGGGAGCATCCTCGTAAGTTCCTGGTCAAATGATGGGAGCTTTCTCGCAACTTCCTTGCAAGAAGCATTTGTTTGGCTATAAATACCTCATTTTGTATCTCATTCCAAGTGAAAGAAAAAGAAGAGTCGAGTTTAGATACTGAGTCTTTTATTGTTTTCACAATGGTGTGTTGTTGTTATTCCATCTTGTCCGATTCTAATTCTTAACAATTTTCACACTTTAAATTCAATTAGAATCCTCAAAAAATGTCTCAAAATTCATATAAATCCGCGTCTAATTCATCATCATCCACCGATAGTGAAGGTGGTGATGACACTAACGATTTAGAAGTTGAAATGATTTCATTTATTATTCAACGAAGCCGCGAGTTACTTCAAGCATACCAACATGAAATTGAAGTTCGTAGAAGAAGAAGGTTCATCTAGAGAAATCGAGAAGATGGGCATAACAGACTTGTAAGTGATTATTTCTCTGACCATCCAGTCTACCTGGATCATATGTTTCGTAGGCGTTTCCGTATGCGAAGAGAATTATTCCTTCGAATTGTGAATGCACTTCAGACACGATCATCATATTTCCAGCAAAACATTGATGCAGCATGAAGACAAAGTTTGTCACCACTTCAAAAATGCACAGCAGCCATTCATCAGTTGGCTTATGTAGTCCCAGCTGACCACCTTGATGAGTATTTACGTATGGGTGAGTCAACTGCTATCAAATGTCTTTTAAATTTTGTGAAAGTGTGGTTGAAATTTTCGGTGATGAATATTTGAGAAGACCGAACAGTAGCGATGTTCAAAGACTCCTCCAAATGCATGAAGAAAATCATGGTTTTCCGGGTATGCTTGGAAGCCTTGATTGTATGCATTGTGAATGGAAAATTTGTCCAGTTGATTGGAAAGGCCAATTCACAAGAGAGCATGGGTCTCCTACGATTGTCCTTGAAACGGTTGCTTCACACGATTTGTGGATATGACATGCCTTTTTTGGTGTTGCAGGATCACGTAACGATATCAATGTATTGTATGAATCTCCTCTATTTAATAATGTGTTGCAAGGAAATGCACCAAACATTCATTTTACTGTCAACGACACGCAATATGCAAATGGGTATTATCTTACAGATGAAATATATCCAGAATGGGCTACGTTCGTAAAGTCTTTTCCTTGCCCGTCAGATCCTAAAAGAAAGTTATTTAAAGAAAAACAAGCAGCTGCTCGAAAAGATGTGGAAAGAGCATTTGAGGTGCTTCAGTCTCGATGGCCAATTGTAAGAGGTCCTGCTCGATTTCGGTATAGAAGAAAACTAGAATTTGTTATGTTAACATGCATTATTCTACACAATATGATTGTTGAAAATTAAAGAGTTGTAGTAACACATTGGCACAATGACGAGGATGAAGAGCCCGCACAACCTGTCCAGGGTTCAAATCGAGAATTTCAAAATTATATCCGTAGAAGTTCAGAGATACGAGATGACGCAGTGCATCATTAACTTCGTGCCGATTTAGTTGAGCATATTTGGACTCATTTTAGCCACTAAAAAATTATTTTTTTGTAATTGTACTAATTTTTCTTGTGTAATCTTAGTTTAAGTTATTTTGGTCTTGTAGTGTTCTTTTATTTTCATGCATTTAAAATTTATTATTATAATTTAAAAATATTAAATTTTTATTTTTATTGAGAATAGAATATTAAATTTATATTGAATTAATGGATATAGTAAGTCCCATATTTGTATTTAAATGAATGTGCAGAGATGTTGGTGTGTGTTTAAATGGAGAGAGAAGATAACGTGGATGAGAAAGAATGTCACTTTTTTATTGAACGAATGAAAAAAAAAAATAATGAATGTGGATACTCTAAAAGACCCAACCAATAACGTGAATCTAGTAAAATTTACTAGCTTCGTAAAATAGTATTGCACGCACATCTTATTATTGCCGAAACCCTAAAAAGGAGACGAAGAACACAACACAATGATGAGGTTGAGCATCTTGCATCCTTTAACGGGTCCCCATATTGCTTTTGTGGTGGCCCATTACCTCATTTTATTGTTGTTGGGGGCCCCACCATTTGATGCCCATTTATGAAAAAATATTACGATTAGGAGGCTTTGTGAAATATTTGGGAAAGCAAAAGGCGTTGTGGATCCAAAGATGACAACACAATCCATGGCCATTTGCCAACCCCAATAGTATATTTTATTTCCAACAAATTCTTTACTTAAAAATAATCACTTGAGACTACATATAAGAAAAATGTCAAAATATTAAACAAAAACGCAACAATTCTAAAGAAGCCTGATAATCTGGAAGAGAGCCTAATAACGGTATTATGAATGTGATTTTAATGTTATTTTCTATTGTCTTTTTTAAATTTGCCGCGACTATCTCACCAAACTTTACTGGTGACACTTTAATTATTTTAACAATTGAATACTACCACGAATCTATACTTGTCCTGTCAAAAAAATTTGAAATATTGGTTTTCATTGCACCTTTTCGTTTATGACATTGTGACATTTTTCATGCTATCTTATACATAAAAAATAAAATAAAAAATAAAAAATCAAATCAGTTTTATGCCATTACCAATCCTAGACATCCAAAGAGTGGATCGTACGATGTGAAGGGGAAGAGATAATCTTGTTTCAAATCAGTTTTATGCCATTACCTCGTAATCTTGTTTCATTTTATATTTTATTATATTGGATAAATATTATATATCTTACAAAAAATAAATAATAAATATTATTCATTCAATACAATGGAACACTAATGAAAAGAAAGATTGTCAAATTTGGGATATCAAGAATTTTTCTTTATAATGCATAATTTTCTGTGTGACCTTACAACACTCACATTTAATGAGGTCGACTCAATAGTTTATAGAATTAGGAAAATGCACATTCTACACACGTGATATTATTTTTTTTCACTTAAAATTATTTTAATTAGTAGATTTGTATTTAATAGTTTAAAATATTTCTTTCCATTAGTTTAACAAATAAAAAAATGGTGTATTTTATGATAAACAATAATAAAGGTGTATTGAGTAATAAATGTAATATTTAATACTATTAACCTAACTTTCTGATAAATATAAACATTGGGTTCACAATCCAAAATAAAATTAATACTTTTTTTGTGAAATTTTAAATGCCAAAGAAAGTTCTGTCATCTTATTTATCGATATCCTCGTTATGCTTAAAATTATGATCATTATTATTGTCATCATAATATAGTTTTATAATGTTCTTCTTTTGTGTCACACTCTTTGAAAAATAACTCGAATTTGGTATAACTATCATTTGTAACGATCATTTTTTATTGTTGATTGGAAGTTAACCAAGTATGTTTTAATGTTTCGTCTCTATTATTTTGATTATAGTGGTTGCGAATTCAATTATATTTGCAAGTATAATAATTCATTATACATACATATATATATATATATATATAGAGAGAGAGAGAGAGAGAGAGAGAGAAGGGATCATATGAGAAAGGGATAGTGAAAGAAATAAGAATAATCCTAGATCATTGGATCAATCAAACCAATGGACATGATCAAGTCAAAACATAATACATCACAATCAAATATGGGTGGCATTTTCGTAAATAATTGTACACAACATGGTCAATTATAAAAATAGACCACTAAGTGGGGGTACATATGACATTATGCACTACAAGTGGACCCCACCACTAACACCACTAACCTACCCCTCTCTCTCTCACACCTAAACACACACAACACACACTTACACACACAAAACACCATACGCGACACACACTTATCAAACTCACACAAACACAGACAATCTGGATGGAGCCGCCGCCGTCAACCATGCCGCCGCTTCCGGATGTCAACCGCGTCGCTGCCGCAAGCATCGCCGTCGACACCAGCCCGATGTCGTCGATGTGGAGAGCTTTCAGATTCCGGTACGGCAAGTGGCTTGTGTGGTCGACCTCGCCGGCGACTGTGTGGTCGTCCTCACCCAATGGTCGTCTATCGTTGCCTGCCGCCATGCCTCCACCGCGTCGCCGTTGTCGTGTATATTCTTCTCAAACTCAAAGCCTCTGCTAGTGAAGGAAGAATCGAGCGCAGAGTTTGCTTTGCGTTATTCAAATCCACCATCCACGGTAGATACCGATCCGCTAGCTGCCACTGGAGGAGCAGGTCCTTTTTGTTGATGGCGTAGTGCTCATGAAGATGAGACAAAGCTTGCTGTCTACTTCCCTCGCCTACCGGACCGCTGGTGGTCGTCCACAGAAGCGTCAGTGAGCCAGTACTCTCCTGCCCAAGTGAGGTATTGTAATGTAGCAGGGGAATTCGTCGTTTCGGCTACGGTTCTGCTTCAGAACAATTCACTCCAACCCCACCCCTAAAAAACGAAGCGAAGAGAAGTGAAGTCAAAAACCCATTGGTTGAACCTATTAACTAACATACAAACCCCCTATCCGTTCCGAGAGGTACCGAGCGACGAATTCACGTAATAGAATATCATATTTAGAAAAAAGATATACCTTTAGTCTTGACAGGAATGAGGGCACTCTAATCTCTCTCTTATGGGTATTAACAAGATTTCGCTGACCTTGATGCTCAGGTCCGGCAGCGAGAAGAAGGTCGCCACTTCCTGCGAACCTTCAACGCCGTTTATCACTGCTCCCGCAGCCGCGTCGCCACCACCGTCCTTCCCGTATCACATAAAAAGGCGGTGACGATATCGGAGGATATGGCCGATTTTTTTTTTCTTTTGCGCAGATGGAGTCTTCGAGGTCCTAGCGGCGGGTTGTGGCGGCATCAGTATTGGGAGATGAAGACGGCGACGGTGACCATATCGACGGTGACTGGAACATCGGGCTGAACTCCGGCGAAGGTGGACGGTGGGTGGTGCTGTAGTTATTTTTACCGGAGTTAAATTAAATGATTCAATCCCCGGGTCGTATCTCAAGGAAGGTCAGCCGAATTATTTGTACGGATATTCAATCACACGAAGAAGAAAATAAATTCCTAAACACTCTAATTCAATGATTTGAGTTTTCAATTATCAACTAATAATTCTCAAACAGCGCAAATAAACAATTATCAATACTTAAAACGAGTTTCTTCTACGTACGAAGGCTAGGGAATCGGGGATGATTATACTAAAATCAAATTCAAATACCAAGCAAAAATCGTTCGGCTAAATGATTCAATCAACCTACACATCTAGAAATTATTCCTCAATAACTTCTCGTAACAAGAGGAAAAATATGGACGGCAAATCAAACCAATCAATTAACACGAGGCAATACAATTACGAACAAGCCTATTCTAGTCGAGCCTAGATCGACCGACTTCTCCCCTTTCGGTTCTACAAGTCGATTAATTAGATCAGAATGGTGATCAAGCATCTAATCCTAGGTTTAAATCAACTTGAAAGATTGAACGAATATTACAAGCAAGATAATCACACGAGTACGAGTAATCACCCCCTATCCCTAGCTTAAGGATTTAGCCACTCATGCCAAGATGAACACAAAACATCGTATAAAGTAAATACTCCAAACTCATGATCAAAATGAGAAGAAAGCTTACGATAAATAAGAGTCAAGTGTTAGAATCTCAAGCACAATCCAAATCCACCATTAAATTCTTTGGGTGTCACTCCCAAAATTCTCCAAAATAAGCAAAAATAAGAGAACAACTTTTTTCGTCTAAAAAGAATGAGAGAAAGATGAAAAGTGAAGAATGAATTATATTTCCTAGCCCAATCCTCCTAAATAGGAATAACATTTCGAAATTTTAAAAGTCCCGGCGCCGTGGCGCGAGGCCTACCACGGCGCGACGTGATGATGTGGCAGATGTGAAGCAAGTCGTGGCCTTCGATCCTGGCGTGAAGGAGCTGAATCTCCGCGGCGCTAAGGCATGTCGTGGCGTGGCATCTGGGGAAGCTCGAATTCTCTGTACGCCCGTGGAGACCGTCGCGGCGTGGGAGAGCGGAAGTTCACGGCGCGTCACCTTCCTTGACGTGGGAGAGCGGAAGTTCATTGCGTGTCACCTTCCTCGACGTGGCAGCTGGAAAGGATCGTCTGAAGGCCCGTTAAGGGTGTCACGTTAAGGGTCGCAGCGTGACATGCAAGATGAGAGTTCTGAAAGATCGTTGAGGGTGCCGTCGTGTGAGCTCGCGTCGTGAAAGAGATGAAATGTCAATGTAGAAAAGCTTGTCTGACATGTACTTTGTAAAATCGAGACAGTTCGACTAGATAAACTCCAAACATCTGGTCAAAATTCCGAACCTGCGCACCTCCAGAACAAGAAAATACCCGAAAAAACAGAGAAAACCAACGAATATACGAAAATAACGAAATAATAGCAAAGACACGAAATAAACGACTGCATGAACGAAAATCCTATCAAAAGACCTAAACCGGTGGCTAAAAGCCTATAAACCAATAAATAAAAAGATAACAAAAAATAGGACAAACATGTGGCCTGCTGAAATTGCTTTTTGGAGATGTGGGGTTATTCTTAAGAAATTTGATATATTGCAGAGGCTTAATTGCAATTTATTTAAGTTTCTTTTATTTCAATTGAACACATGAGGTCAATCTGTAATATAATAAAAGTCTAATTAATGTACAATAAAGATACATAAATTGCACATTATTACGTGAGAATGTACACATTAAAAAAGAAAGCCATGTTTTTTCGAAATCGTAGTTTTCTCGATTCCTAAACATTTAAAAGTTCACAAATAAAGTTTTTAATGAAATAAATGTACATAAAAATACAATAATAAAAAAAATAATAGTATTTTTTTGTAGTTCGGCCGTTCGATTATGTCGGTTATCTAAATACAAAAATATAAAAATTGTTATTTTTAATATAGTTTGTTTTTATTTTGGTTATTTGAAAAACAAATTAAATCATACTGAAATAAGCGATATATGAAAATAATAATAATAATAATAATAATTGGATCAAAATATAAAATTTCGTAATGAATTTTTATTTGTTGATCTTGTTCGATTTTGTGCAATCTGTTAAGCATTTAAGTGCAACCCGTATAACCCTAACGTGCAATCTCAATACATAAAAATATAGATATAAAAAATATTATTAATTTTCATAAAAAAAATATAAATAGAAAAAATCAGTAATATTTTCATAAAAAAAATATTATTATTTTTCATAAAAAAAATATAAATAGAAAAAATCAGTAATATTTTCCATATATTTCAACATGATAGGTTATTTTGTTTATTTAAAAAATAAATAAATCCGACCTCTATCCAACAAATATTATTCGGCCGATTATCATAATTACTGAAATTTTGGTAGATGTAGCGTGTCGTTTTAAGGTGCAACATGTTGCATTATAAGGTGCAATATATTGTTGTATAAAGTGCAACATATTGATATATACGGTGCGGTCGTTTTAAGGTGCAACATGTTGTGTTGTAAGGTGCAATATAAAGTGCAACATATTGATATATATGGTGTTGTAATGACATTTTGATACGTTAGCATGCCTGTGTTTTTTGGTGTGATGGATATTAAAATATTATGTAGATCAGTTTTATAAATTTATATTGAGTAATATTTTTGTGGCAACTGTTAACATTAATTGTGGATTGTTGTGATAAAGTTCAACGTGTTATTTTATAAGGTGCAACGTGTTGTTTTATAAAGTGCAACATTCTGCTATGTAATGTACTCTAATTTATACTTCCCATATAAATTATGTGTATACGAAAACTAGTTTTAATATATATAATTGTACATCGAAATAATCTAAATAATTAAGTTTTATTTGTAATTTTATTATATAATTTATTTATTATCATAATTTATTTTTATATTATAATATTTTATATTATTTTTATTTAATAATTTATTTTTATTTCATATATATGCATAACAAAATATATAAAAATTCATTTTTTATTAACTTTCAATAATTATAAATTTGACCCATGGGTTAAATTTATATATATTTAAAATTATCAAAATTGCAAATAAGTCGCTAGACATAATCTAATTCTCAAAAAAAGGCTCAATTCCACAGTTTAATTTCAAGTTTCATGTTGCGGAATTTTTCCGACTAGAGCCTCCATTTCCGCCGTCGTCCTGACCGCCACAATTCCGGTGAAAAAATGGTGTCCGCCATGGCCGTGCAGAAGCTACCGGAGCTTTCATGTCCGACCACCATGACTGTCAGTCATCTTCCCGATTGACCACCGGAAGCTTCTTCAGACGCCGGAAACCACGTTTCATTGTCTAGTATGTCCGATGTCGAACTGCTTCACGGAGTTTTCAACTTGTGTATCAATGGCCGATTTCGATCGGAATGTCGTGGCTGCGCGTTCCTCATAGAAAAATAACTCTGGATATCGGTGGACAGTGTTGTTTCCGTCGTGAGTGGAGAATAAGTTTCAATACTGCGACAGCGGCACCAACAAGAGCTGCGGCGGGTGGTGGTGAGACCACAGACGGACGACCGTCGAGCTCCTGTAGGTGGCAGCTGCTGTTCGCCGGTGTCGGTGGTGCACGTCGGTAGCTGGGTTGCGACGTTGGTTCACTGAATAACTACACTGGCGGCCGGAGAAGACATGTTGTCGGCGACGGGCATTGTTGATGAGAGAGAGAGAGAGATAGATCTGGGGGAGGTCGATTGAATTAATGAGTTGGTGGGGTGGGACCCACTGTTATAATTATGGTTGGTGGAGTGATTAGGTGGCAGGTAGATTAATATGGACTGGGGCCCACTGATTTGAATGTGGTGTAAAAATTACTGTACTACTCTTAATGAAGGTATATTTTAGCTTTTTTATAAGCAGTTGGATCATGCGATCTAATGACTACAATGTATTCTTATTTCTTTCACTAAGCATCATTCTCACCGGAGCGTGACCCTATATTTATATATATAAAGGTTTGATTGTTTTTTAAATAGTAACTATTTCCCTAAAAAAAATCTATTTACTATTTCAAGAAATTAATTTAATAATTTATATATATTGTCCAACATTGGTTGATGGCTGATTGAGGGTATACACCTACATATATTGTCCAACTTAAAATATTGTTTCATCTCCTAATATTGTCATGCATGCATTATCATTTTCGTTCACGGATTTTCATGACTATCTTAAATGTGAGAAAATAAATAGTTTCAGTTTAAACGAATTATGAAATGATGATCCTTTCATATTTTACTTTTCTCTTAATATTATTCTTATATATTCGTCAATATTATTAAGGTTATTAATGTAATTTGTGAATGATTTATAAATAAGATTGGTTAAAGACAACAAAGTTAAAGTAAATGTACTATTTATTTTTATTAAATTAATTTTAGTTGTAACTATTTTTTAATAAGTACACGTACTTAGGAATTCAAGATTTAAATCGAGTTTTAGTTATTTTATTTTATTTTTATAATTACTCTATTTTTATTTATATTACAATCAAAGTAAATGGTAGCTTAATTTATGTAACACATAATATGATAAAAGAACATTTATACTATAAATACTATTAATAAGTAAATTTAAATCATATCATGAATATTATTTTAGTAAATAATTTAAACAAAATATTTCTATTAAGAATATATATTGTTCACTTAACGAATAACTTTTTCCACATAAATTTGATATTCTGTCTCTTGAAGAATTACTTTTTATTCAATAATTCTTAAACAATTCTTAAATACTAGCGCGTAGCTCGTGCGATGCACGGGATGGTATATCTTCCTGAAACGTTTAACGTGTGAAATACTAAAAATAATATAGTTTATATATATGTAACAAAAATAAATGGATTGCAAAGAAGGAAAAAAATATAAATTATTGAACACTTTCTTTGTGAAGTAAAATTTGTGAAGCTTTGATATATTTGATTATGAATAGAAAAGTATGAAATACTACCTGCGGACCGTTGAGATAGATGAGAAGATTTACTTAGAACATATAGAATAAATATTGAGATAATGATTTACCTTTTACCTAGTATATATAAAATAAATATTGACATGATGTGGGAAAATTATGACGAATTATGACATAAATTCGTTTAGAAGTTAGTAGAAAATATTCAAAAATTAGATTTATTTTTTATTTTTTAAATCCTTACAGTAATTCGTACGCTCCTTTTCATACGCTTAATTTATCAATTTTACACATATAAATCAAAATTAATGCAACTCGAAATATTATATAACAAATAAAATGTGATTTTTTATCTAACATTTAGTATATTGCCGGAAAATCTTTTATAAATCATATTCTCTTTTTATGCACATAGATATTAAAGAATGAGTAAAAAAATTATCTAAATATGTTTAAAAGTATCTAATATTATATGTGTTAACAATGTTACAACTAAAAGACATTAAGAATACGTAGACTATTATATAACATATGTGAAAGTATTAAAATATTTTATATTATTATTGAAAAATGTGATATTACCTCAATTTTGTCTAGACTATTTTATAAGAAAAATATATATACTTAAAGTTAGCATACACACACATATATATATCCTTAAAATTTGCCCAACTAACATGTTTAAAAGTATATACAATTTTATATATAAAAATACGTTTAAAGTTTACATATTTTACAAAAATTAGACTGCTCTCAGTTTATATAAAGTTTGTTGTTCTCATATTCGGATAACGTATTATGCATTTAATGAAAGCACTCTATGATACAAATTTATAAATATTAATTAAAATAATTTTCTAAATTATATAAAATTGAAATAACAAAGGTGAATATACTTGTTCATCATGAAAATGCGTTACAGCTCTCCCGTTCGTGATGGGTTTCAATAATACGGACTGCTCTCAGACGCAAAAAAGGTTTGTTCTTTTGTTAACGCAATCAAATGTACCCAGCCTGGAAGCATTATATTGTATATGCGATGAAAAATTATTCTCTGTATTTTTTTTTCTCTCAACTCGTGAATGATGAGTTGTAATGGTGGTAGTGAATATCCTTTTATACAATTTTTTATTAACCAAAAGTGATAAGATATTTATGGATTGTATTTGGATAGATAGTAAGTCCCATGATTTTTGCAACGGACAATCAATTTCACATATTTTTT